ACTTCAGTGAGGCAATGATATCAAAATAGTTTCAACTCACACTACAAAGTATAGCATATGACCCCTCATCAAAACCATGAGACACTCTTTAATGTTCGTTCCTGTCCGCGATTTTTTCAATTCGCAGAAGTGTTTTATGACAATCCAGACTGCAAGACACAGGGCAAGGATCTCCCATACGGTGGTGGGTACCGTAGTCTCTGCATTCAGACGTGTGTCCTCTGCGCTCATATTCTCGAAACACTGACGGTTGCCAGAAAGGATCTTCTCCACTGATATTCGTGTATGAGTTCTGAATATTGCATTCATAATTTAAGCTTACCTCCTGAAACACCGATATTCCCTATCACCGTCATAACCACGGAGGCAATCGTACAAGCCAGTAAGACCACAATGAGAAAGATGAGTATCCTTTTGGATCCCTGGTACATAGCATGTATCCGAGTTGCCATGATGACTTGCAAAAATTTCAGTGAAGTTAATATCACTAGGGGCCACACTCACCTCCCAGCATGGTATTGATTATCAAAGACGTCCATGCCAGCATGAACCACAAGATGTTGCCTGAAAACCCAGTCATCGGTGCGCATTGTTTAAATAGATACTCTGAATCAACTCACAGCTGTGAAAGTCGTCAACTGGAAGAAAAACAGCTGGCGAGATATCACTCACCCCTAGGAGCGTAATTAGTAGTTGAATGGGAATAGCAGACATCGGCGAAGAATACCCACTGCATCTGTAATAGAGATTTGGAAATACACTGCATGCCATCAGTCAAAAGAAACGAACGTATACTATGAGCACACATACACAGTATGTAGACGCTGGTCGTAAAATATGGCTTATTAAAATAGTGCATTATCTTCTGGCTAGTATTGGAAACATACATTGAAAATAGTATTCCGATGTAGCGAACCTAGCATATAGTCAAGTCAGCACAGCTTGGCAACTGCGGTTATGATATCAGACACGTACACAAACATAAAGAAGACTCATGAGGGAGCAGCGTTGCCTCTGCCCAGAATTAACTGCACTATCCTGTGTCTCTGATATAGTACTTTACTCACCCAAATCAGTTCGAACTGTTAAATCATTTTTAGTAAAATGGCTACACCGGGAATGGCACCAACTTGCCTCTTGTGCAAGCACGAGTACTTGAAAACAAGTCTAGATCAACTGTCCCCTTCAAAATTATTATCTTACTCACCCCAGTTGTATATTACCATGGTCAAGGACGCAACTGCGAAACCACGCTCAATGGCAGCGAGATATCACTAACATCATGAGACGAACCTATAAAATAGCTGTATCTACGACTCCACTCAAGATACGGCCAATAAGAGGGATCGTTCGAAACATAGGTCATGTTGGGATCGGGGGGCTTGGTGAATGATGGTGTTCGTGCAGGTGTACACTATCCAGCACTTTATAACGATCAGGCTGGATGATAGAAGTTCCACCTTGATTGAGTGTGGCAGCAACTGTCATGTGAAATCAAATGGAACGGGAACATGTCAAGAGAAGCCATCATTGGTCGAATCATGTACTTTTTTTTATTTATCATGATAACATGGAACACCAGAATCCCGTTCGCAATGGAACGTGTTTCGGGAGTTTTTGGAGGCCAGAAGCACCTATGACTGATGTATAACGCCGGAAAATCACCGCAATGAGCGTAAAGCACCCTGGGGAGACTCGGACTCTTGAATTCTCTGATGCCAAGCCGTTAGGGTAGAGCACGGGTATGGGTATGGTGTGGATTGTGGAGACCCGCATATACACCGTGCATACCCGTCGCGATTTACAGTGTTGGACGGGTGTGGATCCCCAACTTGTCCGAGAGTGCGAGGTCAAAATTTCATTACTCATGAAGAATCTAATCGACGCCACCAGCTATGCTGATTTGCGAGTGGAATATTCCATGAGCTCAGACAGAAGCAATGATTTGTGGTACCCAGGTTCTGTACGAGTTAAAAGGCCAATGGGTTGTGAAGAAATGCAGAATACCATTCACCTCGACCCACGGGTTCACCCGTGCTCAACCCTACCAGTGAGGCTTGAAGCCGTTCTCAAGAAAAAGGTTTACGTCCATTCCATCCAGTGAGCACTGCCTAGTCAGAAATCAAGGAAACTGCGGAACCTGCAGAGAACGGACCGATATGATGGAAGACATTTTCAAATGATGATCAGAAGAAACTTTTGCAACATGAGAGCTGCGCCGCCGATCGGAAACAACCGAGTCACTATTGACTTCGGCGCTACTCAGGGGCTTCGGCGGCTACCTCCAAGCGGAGTTGCAATATTGCCATCGCTGCCTCCCGTCCGCCACTTGGCACCGGTTTCGACACCCACCACATACTATTACACTTCGTATTTGTTTTAGGCCTGAAAATATATTTATCTTGCAGTCAAAAGGCACGGGTAAGAAACAGGAAGACTGCATCTCGAGAGCGTGGTGAATATTGATTTTGATGTGAGACCCCATTCTCACATCATACGATACATAACACCTTCATGCCTGCTTCAATAATGGGGTCCCTTATTTGATGATAACATGGTAGCGTTATCTAGATAAATATAATAATGCCGTGCGCACTTACATGGGGCGGAACGAGCCATGTATAAGATACACAATATATGGACACAGGTGAAAAGGAAGAGAGATGATCGAGTAACAGAGTGTCATGACTGACGCGACGTAGAACGACGACCAAAGAAAAATCCGCAACAGGTAACTTCATAGGAAACTTCTCCCGTCCTAACAGTTGACTGTTGTGTTCCTGTTGGTCGTGCTTGAGATCCTTCTGCCTCTGCTGCGAGTTGACCTTGTTGCGTTGAACTGTTGGCCTGATTGCTGTTCGTACGTTGCATAGCTGCAGCTGCTTCCGCATCAGTTTCAGGGACAATACCATATCTCTTCAATGTTTTTAATGGAACGAAATTGGAACAACGACGAGTCACTCACATCTTCATCACGAGCAGGAGCTACATCGACGGTGCGGCTTGAGTTCCCTCTAGGATGTAAGCTGAAATTCCAATGCCGAGATTCGCGAGGTGATGGTCGGGGCGCATCTGTAAGTCGAGCACCGAATTGAAGGGAACCAAACAAACGGCGCCAACGAATGAGAGACAATGGACCCGCACGTTGAGCTGCACGACGAGTCACACTGTCTGACTCGTCGCCGAAAAAATCATTGCCCTGTTTCAAAGTTAGTGAAGCAAGAGTTGAAGAACGAGAATTCTACCGACATATCTCGCTGAGCCCCTGGTCTTGGCCTGTTGTTTGAAGTGCAGACGGGAATTAAGGATACAACGGAATACATGAGCAAATATGAGGTTGCTTACGATTGGTTGGCGCACATCCCTTGGTCGTGCTGGACGTCCCTAGTAAAAAGTGAGATGTAGTGTGAAACAGAAGCAGAGAAGACTTGCCTTAAGCTTCGCGTTATCATCATATGCATCCTAGTAAACGAGTAAAACCATTAGAAAAAGACATTAAAACACCAAAGCACATATGTACTACAACTTTGAGCGCCGCCTCTAGGCTCCATATATAGATTTTTTTGTCTGGGCCAGCACTGGCAATGTATTTTCCATCGGGGGACAAGGCAACAGCGACGACTCTGTCATCATGCCAGAGTGGATCTCCGACCGCCTGATTGGTTTTGAGGTCCCAGATACGAATGGAGCAGTCATTTGAAGCGCTAACAATATAGCTTTCATTGGGAGTAAGACAGAGCGATTTAACAGGGTTGGTGTGACCACGAAAAACGACGAGTTCTTGCCCGTCAATTAACCGCCATTTACGGATGGTATGATCACCTGACCCAGAGAATATGTGCGCGCCGTCATTGGACCAGCGCAATGACGTCACCCCCGGGCCACGGTCATGTCCCTTGATCTCGACAAGCAAATTGCTGTCTTTTGACCATACACGAATCACACCGTCTGCACCGCCGCTCATGAATTTATCGCCTTGTGGAGAGTATTTGACGGCGATAACCCATGAATGACTGGTCTCTGTGGGTGGTGCTAGTTGTCGACCAGTATCCGGGTTCCAGCGTCGTACGGTGCCATCTTCAGATCCACTTGCTATCTCCAGGGCATTGCGAGACCAATCGAGGCACCTCACTACGTCATCATGCCCCTCCCACGGGTCACCAACCATGCTACCCTCCTTTATATTCCACAGCTGTAGTGAGCCGTCTATGCTTCCACCAACGACCATTGTCTCGTCTGGGGATACTGCTATCGGGCCTATCACTCCTCGGTCACTATGCCAAGGCTTTCCTACTGGCTCTCCGTTTCTTTTCCATTGACGAATCGAACTATCCTGGGACGTGCTCATTATATTGTCATTGGTACCCAGAAATGTAAGGCTCCATATGCATTGAGAATGACCCTCGATGATGCACTCTGGCATCAGGCTTCCTGCTGAACGTTCTGGCTTTGGTTTCTTCCACGATGTGGTCTGAGTATTGTGGTCGACGAAGTAGGACCGACCAAGTGGTGAGATGTGCCATTCGTATCTGGGAGCAACAAGATCTCCAGGATCGTCTATATTACACCATAAACTTGTCGGTCTTAGTAGCACTTGCTTCACTCACCTAATCGTACTCCCGGCAAAGGTCTGTTATGTGAAACCATGGTGAGCTTGTTATCTTGATATTGATTATCATCCAACACCTTAAACTGATGCCATAGAGGAGGGAGGGTTTCATTCCCGCCTGCTTCATAGTCAGCAAGCCATCGGATGTCACTGTGACGTGGTTGCTCGCCTTTCCAAAGTGCATCCTGGCGGTGCTGTGCACCATAGGGCGGTAGATCCTTCGCGCTCGTCCGAAGAGGTGCAACATGTACTGGTGAGTTTAACAGCGCTTCTCGTTGCACTTCTTTCCGTTTTGCTGCTGGGCTTGACTCGTCCACTTCGTTGGGCATGACTCTGATCGAGAAAGGCCTCTGTGCTTCCGGACGGTCGGACGATGGGTAGAGGCTAAGCTCGATAATGAGCCAAATCAATAGTCAAGGGTAGAAGAGATGAAGGAGGTGATTTCGCATGCTATATTCGTGGTGCCTGTCTTACACTGCATGCTAGTGGCAGTGTTACTGTTGAAAGTGACCTCGGCTCGGTTCGTTCCGTCTCATTCCTGTGCACTGTACATAATGGCGCGCAACAACACTCCTTGTGATCAAATAATTGCCAGTTCTGCACCTTTCTGTCACAACACGACAAACCAGACCACGCAGGGTCACTGGCAGTCTGGCACGTTCGCATGGAATATCGAGTTCTCTGGAGTCTGCGCGGATGTCCACTAGTTAGTGACTCGGAGTTCGACATGTATGATGTACTGCTAGGTCAGTCACCTTGTGTATGAATGATTTGGTGTGGTATGATCTAGTGATGCGTTATAAGTGGTGCGACCGTGACAAATTGCGGCAGTGGTATGGCAATTTACTGGAGCCTTTTGCAAATTGCACATCATGTCACATGTGCAATCTTTGCATGCGCCGTTGCAGATAGTTCCAGACTTCCAGTGTAGGCGGTGCCAAGATTGATTAGAGAATAAAGCAGTGGTACCCGAAAGGTCGATTGAGACGCTCGTGGGTAAGAAGAATACAAAAGTGAGGCCTATTTGTCATGAACAAGGTGTGTAGGTAGGGTGTGACATGGGTGGACGTTACCCGGATACCCACCCGGGTACCACCCGCGGACGGAATGTGGGACGGATGGTACGGATGGTGGGTAGCGTGGATGGTTCCATCCGCACGGGTACGGGTCGGAGGACTGCTAAACGGGTGTATCCGCAGGTATCCGCGGGTAGTCAGTACTCAATATTTTTCGGCCGAGTCAAACTCACAACTTGTTACCGAACTCCCACCCAATGTCAAAATCAGATTTGTTGTTATCAGAGCTATCCAAATGTGATATTACTTCTAAGTTTTCAATGTTCAAAACTCGATGTGCAAAATGACCAGTCCAATTCCATTCCTCGTCCTCAATCAGATTTTTTCCCCATACTGTGAACCTTATCGCAAAGGTACGTTTGATTCATCTTTGCATGTATTGTATTAATTTTTCATAACCAGGCTTTTCTTTCTTTCTTCTACCGTCAGCCAAAGCGGAAACGACAAGTGAAGGTCGCAAAACGAGGCCGTAAATGTCCCTCTGACAACAATGACATCATAACTCTTGAAGATGGTTTGGAAAATGCCGAGCTCACCCCTCTAGAGCAAGAACTCCTCGACGAGGAGTGTGGTGGCCCTGCAAACTCTGAAGACTCAGCTGAAACAGCCACATCATCAACAGTTTCGGACGACGTTGATGAAGCAAAGTAGTAGTGATCTAATGCTCCATAGCTTCCTCAGTTGATGCCGAACGTGCTTTCTCTGGTGGCCGTCTACAGGTGAATCATCTTCAACACGGTATCAGCTCCCAGACCTTCAAAGCGCAGGTTGCTGTTGGATCGTGGTTCAACACGCCTCTTATGCCGGATCTCAGTGTCGCTACGAATATCATGCGGCAGAAGATAGCAAAGGGCAAGGAAAAAGAATCAGGCAGGCTGGTATCAGCAAAATCGACTGTGATTGATATTATGTAGTACTACCCATGTCGTATTCTACGATTCATAATGTGTCACCCGCGGGTGACCCATACCATCTGCGGACCCACCCGTGGATCCACCCGCACCCGTGGTACTCTCACCCGCACGGGTGCGGGTAGGCTTCTGAAGTTCCATCCACCCGCGGATTGGGTACGGGTGCCACCCGGGTCCACCCATGTCACACCCTATGTGTAGGTGTCGTCTTTGATATACATACCAGACTGATCATTCACTCGAAGCGGCGGGATTGCCAAAGGTATATTATACCAGTCTTACCAGAACCCTGGAGTCGAGTCGATCCTCTGCAGAGTCAGTGACGAGAAGGTCTATGCTACGGCCCCGCTCTCACCTTGCATCTCAATCACTCACAATCCAAAAGACGTGTTCATCAACTCGGAGTGCTTAAACATGGGGGACACGGTACACGTTATCTCTGCTACTTGTCACAATCTGTGTCGTCGTGTCCTCATGTTTGAAATTTTATTCTCAACTTTGTGCTCAATGGTGTTCAACCTGCGAGCCCATTGCCATAGTTGGCGTGGGAAATCGTCTACATAAGGTAAACAAAATTGCGGTAGATCTGGATCACACCTGTGATTCCCACGTAAATGCTTTTATTATAGGTGATAGTAGATGGGTCTCGCACCTTTAAGGTCAGGCAAATTCAGCGGATCACCGCCTCCTTCAATATCTCCTGGATAAAGAGGGACTTTACATACCAACCGGACTATAGGACTGGGTGGGTGCTGCCGCCGGCATCTCGGCAAATGACGTGATGTGTTCCCAGCGTCGGCTAATAATATATGAAACGTCGAGCTCGCTGTGCGACGCGACGAGCTCGCATATCTCACGTTCAAGTAATGGGATCGACACCGCGTTTCGACGACACATGCACCAGTGATGATTTTAGTACGTAGGGAATACATTTATGTCCATAAACTAGACTACAGCAATGGAACAGTACTATTACTCATCTTCAAGTCCGTCAGATGACTCAACAACTTCAGAGCTCTTGGGGGCTTGGCGAAGCTGTGGAGCGGTTCTTTTCGCCTTCTTCGACACCCTCTGATTTTCCTGGCCAGCCTGTCCTGCGGTAGCCGGTGCCTTGCGCTTTCGAGGCACTCCAGAGTCCGAACGCTTCTTGCGTGGCTTGCGAACAATTTCGCCAGCTAAACGGCGCGTGTTGAGTTCAGCTGCGTGGGATTTAACTTCTTCTGGCGAGAGAACTGTCCAGTAGCAGATACGACTCTTGAGTGCATCTCGAAGCTTCCGAATGTCGCCAACTGTTCCAATGTTCGAAGGACTAATGAAGTTGACCCCGTGGGGCCATCCTACAAGGCGCACTCCATAAGTTTCGACGATCGCGGTTTCGTAGTTATGGTAGTTCATGGCGATATCCTTTTTACCAGTCACTGCAACTGAAAACAGTGTCAGATGGGGCCAGCACATGCAAAACAACACAATCACTCACATAACCCACGGAAGATCATTTTACGCACTTGCTTTCGCATTGCCTCCAAAGACTCACGCTCGTTAAGATCTGCACGACATTCAATGATGGCCAGGCAAGTATATATAACGTAAAACTTACTCTGATCCTGTGTGCACGCCCATTGTTCATATTGACGCAGAAAATCTGCCATCGGATGCTCGTAAACGTCCTCCCAAAAGTCTTCTGTATTGTCGGTGCCATGCATGGTGCTTTGGATCGTGTCGTTGATGTGACCACGAACGACAAATAATGTCGCATAGATGCCAGTCCGAACACGTAGGTCATCCAGCTAGTATAAGTTTATTTTAGTTGGTTGTAGACGTAAATATTCAAAAAAATGTACCTCTTTCACGAGTCTTTCTGTTGTGGCTACCACATCTCGCGCAGCTGCGGAATTATTCGCACGAACACCAAGTGCCTTCTTGTCGCGATGCTCATTGAGGGCCTCTATGTAAGAGGCCTTTTCTTCTTCCGTCAATTTGTTCATTTGAGGGTCATTTGTGACCATTTCACGGAGCTCAGCCAGCGTGTAACGGGACCCTGCAGGTTTATCTGATTGTCATAAGGTAAGCAGTGATATCGTATTGAGAACATCAAAAGACTTACCGGCGTTTAGTTCCTTTGCCTTCGCATGAATAAGCGCGTTGATCAACCGGGGCTTGTGGGAGTTGTGGTAATTCGTGTGGACGCTGATGATGTCATTGATGTGCTTTGGGGTGACATTGTGAGTTCGGGCGAGCACCTCTATTTTCACCCTCTGCTCGTCGAGGTACTCAGAGATACCATCATGTAAGCTTTTTGTCGCCTCCCTCTTCTGGTCCCTCTTGATTTTCCGGGATGCTTTTTGTGCATCCGTCAGCCGAGGTGGTGGCGTCCGAGGTCGAATAACAGGTCGCGTGGGATTGCGTGCTGCCCAGGTGGATGAATTCCCCTCACGCAGCGGCCCTGCACAGTTGGCACTTTGATTAGGGGTCAAGGCTTCAGACGGGTGGGGTGATGGTGTGCGAGTGGGAGGGTCAGGGAGTGAGGAACGGGCGATGAACCCTGGAAGGAGTGGCAAGTTGGTGGGCATGTCCTTGGTAAGTGTAGCTAGTTCCTCGCTTGTAAGCGGCATAGTGTAGAGCGCTGGGTCCTCCCAGTTAATCTCATTGAACGAGGGAGCAGTAAAATCACCATTGGAATCAAAGTTTTCCGCTGAAAAAATTTGGTCCATCATAGGCGCAGTGGTGAGGAAGTGTTGGGGTGCAGACGTGCAGTGTTGAGATGTAGATGTGCCTACAATATTTTACGCGATGATGCAAATAAACAAGCCGCGACGCGTCAGGTACATGAGGCAGTGCAGAACATGAAATTGACAAGACATACATTTGTTGCACGCCTCAGGTCCCTGTCTGCTATTCTTCGAGTCGCAATGCCAACTACAGACACAACTAGGAATTCAAAGCTTGTCAGCACTGAGCCCCGCATCAGCAATCCGCTCACAATGACATAGTCACTTGCCTTGCAGAGGTGATATATTCGTCGAGGTATATTCCGAGCTGATCCGAAAAAATTGCTGTAGATTTGTCGAGGTTATTGTTGCTCTGGTTTGTCGGACTCGGAGCGCCACACCAGCGGGTCGTACTAATATACGGGGCGTCAAACAGACACCATAGCGTCTTTGAGTTGAGCCTAGGGAGTTCAAAGAGACGCCATAGCATGGCGAGGTTATTGTTGGTCTGGTTTGTTGGACTTGGAGCCCCACACCAGCAAGTCGTAGTATACGGGTCGACAAACAGACACCAGTCAAGAGCGCAAATCTTAGACAACCTGGGACCTACAACATGTCTAAATATAGTAGTTGAGTCGAGGCGCAAAACAGCCGCTGTCTTACTCATACCTTCGAATGACAGATCCTGTCAAAACATATATATTTTTGATTGTCACAAGACAACGACCATCTCACCTTCAATTTTTTCGCAGATCAATCATGTCGTCAAGACATATATTATCGCTCATCAGTATCTCACCATGGCCAGAGACCGTCTCTTTCTCTTTCAATTTTGCAACATGGTAAGCTCAAACGCTCGCACCTGTGATTTATCTGACGTTGGAATTCCAAGGGTCGTCGGGACAAGTCCTGCAGTCCTGCTTTGAGGCAACGCTTAGCTACAGAGCGTTGGCTCGCCAAACCAGGGTAAGCCGGTTGTAGCCACAGAGAATGTTGCTCACCTTACCTTGCAGAATTCGAGACAGCCAAAACGCGAAGGCACGTCTTCGAGTGGCTCGTAACAGGGCGAAAAAATTGCAAATGCAACCTCCCGCAGAGCCAAATCCGCGCATTCCTGGCACTGGATCCCCCCCACTCGATTACGATAACATTTCGCATGATTCCCGGTCAGATTGTGAAGATGATCGGTCTTATGATTTCCCTTACGACGCTGAACAACAATCCGCTGCTGCCATCGCTTCCCCCCCACTCAACGATTTCCCTTACGACGCTGAACAACAACCCGCCGCTGCCATCGCTTCCCCCCCACTCAACGATTTCTCTTACGAGGGCGAACAACAACCCGTCCCTGCCATCGCTTCCCCCCCACTCAACGATTTCTCTTACGACGCTGAAACCTCATTCGACGATTTCTCTTACGAGGGCGATGACTCTGTGCTCACCATGGACAACGACCTTCCTTGTTCTTGTGACGTTCCCACACTGCAAACAATAGAGAACGCTGTCAGACAATGGCGGAAAGAGTGGGAATCAGAGAGTGTGTGGAATGAAGCGTTCGACGATGAACTTGGGCGTGCTCGCATAGAGGGGGAACATGCCACCACCACATTCCTTGACGAGTGCGCACAACGTATTATAGATGGGAAGGAGCTACTCGAGAGCATCCATGACGTCGTGCGCACACATTGCCCATACTGCAGGGAGCGGCTTAAGTATGATGGTATCTTACTATACGATTTGCTCGTTTGTGTCGTGTCACAAGTCAAATTTTTTGAGGTAAAACTAGATACAGGATGTAACTAGTATTATTTTATCAATGTAGAGCCCCTTCAAGCATCAGAACAGATGAAGTGTGAAGGTAGAATGAACACAGTTCGCTATATGTTCGATATGTGTTCGCTACAGTTCACTATGTTCGATATGGGTTCGCTAGCGAACCCATATCGAGCCCATAGTGAACTGTAGCGAACACATATCGAACATATAGCGAACATCTGCGTACGGATGCCTGGGATCATCAATAACAGCCTATTACAATATTTTGAATAAGGGAAGCGCTTTTATGGTCAGAACCGGACATGCAGCCTTGAACCGAAGCTGCAAGAAAGTGTTGTAAGTGATGTAGAGCATTTATGACCATGGCGGTTTGCTTGTCATTTGCTTGTCATTTGATTGTCATTGCAAGCGTCACACACAAAACCCTTAGTACATTAGCTCGTAGATATGCCATACATCACACAATTGCCATACATCACACATTGTATTCACCAACCTGCAGGACAGCAGTAGGCGTATTGAAAAATGCATTGATTTATTCTACTACAAGCGAGTCAAACTAAGAATATTCAAAATCCAAACTGGCTCATGGTCTCGGACAGATCATCAACCTGTGACCACATTTCATCTGACTCCGCTGACAGTGAGGGTGAAGGAGAGGATGGCCAGAATGGGCCTCCTGGAATGGGGACTGCGCGCACACCGCCTTCATTAAATTTAACAGTGTAGACCTTGAGAGCTTCCTGGAATGATGGGTAACGTTTCTGAACGTTCCCGCTGATGAAATTCGTGCGTTCCGCGACATCAGCCCTGAAGTAGATATCGAATTAGATACCACAAGCCAAAGGGATGACACAACACGTACCAGTGGTAGAAAATGCCCACTTCTTGTCCGACTGTGATGACCCAGAAACCATCAGGTTTGAGACCAGCTCGTGGTGGACAGATCTCCTCTGGCTTTGGAACAAGCGGGACTTTGGAGGCTGTTCGTGTGATTGTTGGTGAATAAATGGTTTGGGACGGGGCGTATGGAGTTGCTGAGATATTGTTAGATGGTCTAGGGGTGCGAGGTTGCAGGGGTGTTTGAGAAGTTGTGGTGGTGGGAGGAGACGGGGATCCAAGGTTTGTTCCGCTGGGAGCACTGGTGTGTGCAGATCGCGCGTGTAAAGATCCTGATAAGGTGATGGACTCGGTAGTGTTGCGAGTCCAGGTGATAGTGTTAAATGGGGAATCTACCAGGAAGCTTTAGTATTTCGATGTTAGAATTAAAACGAAATACATACCTGATAGAGTCATACTGTTGAGCAAATCGTGCAAGTCTTGGATGTGATTGTCCCGGGAGGGAGAGCGAGTAAATGGAGGGCTCGAACGGCGCGACATGATGAGTGTAATGAGGTGTGGGGCGAACAGACACTACGCAATAATCAGTCACGTGAATTGAAAAGACAAAATCTTACCAACACAAGACTCGGACGAGGGCTGGAGACAATGGGGACTCATGGACAGCGGCAACGTGTTCGAACGAATATTTCCTTGCGATCCATCCGGTACATCAAGTCCTCGAGGGACAAACACGGCCTGCCTGTTAACTCGGTCTCGAAGGTACTCAAGCATCGGGAGTTGGTCAAGCAGGCCGCAAGTACGAATGAACGCCGGAAAATACGTCTGGAAGGCAAGGCTCAAAGCTAATTTCAATTTCAAACAAAATCGAAACTAACCTTGTATATAGAAATGAGCGCTGATGAACGTCGAGCTCTGGAAGCGTTGAAAGACGACCAAAACGCAGAGGATGTGTGGCAGGATGAATCGGAACAAATGGACTTCGGTGATGTCTTGAACGGCTCCGAACTATTGCCCATCAGCCACACTGGTGGCGAGTTTGCTGATCTTGCGACAAGTCTTTTGGGAGACTTCTGGGATATGTAAGTAATGCTAGTACTTACCAGAGAGTAAAGCATTGACGCACCTGTTTAAATGGCAGGAAGGATCGAGCTCGTGGCCGACGCCGTATTGATAATCGTACACGCCGTGACCGCGTTCTACGTAGGAACCAGGCTTTTGCTTCGCAGTTGCTTGCCATGACCGATGCGTACCTTACCTGGAGCTTGGAAAAATCCAAGGCAGACTTTAGCGGCTTTTTTGACCGGCTGCAAAGTGAAGACACTCACCTGCCAGAGAGTAAGCCTACTGGACAATGGACAATCAATGTCATTGACGTATTCTGTGAGTGTTTGCTTCGATTTCAATTGCTTACCATTGTGTATGTATATATATACTCGTGTGACGGCATTGATGTACTTCTCTATAGACGCTGACAAAGTTACTGTTAAGATACTATCTTCCGACCGCACCGTTGCCTCTGCCCTCGTCCGTCAAGGCGTGATGCCTTGCTTGCCTATATCGCCTACTGTGGGCATTACTACAGAAGCCCTGGATCTTTATCGTGTAATGCACCTTAGGAGTCCCCACTTGTCCATTCAGGCCTTCGTCAAATCAATGAGCGACTTGCGTGGGGTGTGTGCTTCTTTTATTTGTTCTAGGCTGATCTCTGATCACACATAGGTGGGATTTCACAGATACCTTTCTCGTCAATTTTCCATCGCATTCGACTTATACCTCGACGTTCGACGCGCGGTTGCAGCCATGGTAGCCGAGTCGCTTCAGCGGGACTCACCCGACTGGCGACTCAAACACGCCTGCCCCGCGTGTACATATGTGCTAACGGACGAAGCAAAATTAAAGTTCAGCTTGCTATATGCCATGGACGGGAATGACTCCCTGAAAAGAGTCCTTCGAAGAACGTTTGATACGGACGACTCTCTCGGCTCATCGTGTGAACTCCCGACGGGACAGCAGCTCAGGACTGACCGCTATCTATCTCGTACCTTCGTTGACCAGTTTGCATCGGACTCTAGTGCTGCAGGCGACGGGGAGAATTCGTGCGAAGGGCGTTGGAAGAATATGGATGACGCGAAAACAAAGAAAGCATGGGGGATTTACGATGAAACAGGCATCTTTTTGGCCGTGTGCCGCCATGGGTTCTCTCTGCTAATTGCAGACATGGTACAGAGTGGGGAACTGTGAGTTTTATTTAGTTTTTAGCTCGTTCGTCAACTGATTGTTGCTCGGCAGTGCAAAATATCCTTTGGCCGTGGTCTCGAAGTTGCTGAACGTATTTGGAACTAATCTAGGAGGCGGGTATGACATCAGCTGTCAGTTCAAGACTACTCTCGACAGAAGCTCCCTCGGACCCCTCACACGTTCGAAGCATCACACCTGCCTTGTTGGGGCCTTCCATGGACATGCCCACAGGCGTTTGTGCCAACTTTTCTCACTCACAACGTATACCAAAGGTCTGGGACTGGAAGATCTGGAGACGTGCGAACGGACTTTCTCGAAATCGAATTCCTTGGCCTCCGCACTACGTTACGCGAGTATTTTCCATCGCCAACAAGCCATCGATTCTTTTTTCGAACACAACGACGACTTCGAAGTCTACGCTAATCTATGTGAGCTACATTTTGACACGTGATATTTATTTGCTAATAATCACTCATTCAATTAGCCGATTTTTTGTACAACAACTACAAGCAAGCTCTAGATATCCTCGATGATGGTAATGCAGCGCTACCGAAACTCATGCAAGATCTCAAGGTAGTTGATGTGAGTACTTTCGAGCGCTGGTTGGAAGATGAAAAGGCCTATCTTGTTGGTCTAACGCGCGAGCCTGAAGAAGAAACACTCCAGATGGAGTACTGGCAGAGGCTCGTTAATCTTGCAGCGAGCAGGTGAGTTGTGATACGTATCTCATGATCACTGATTGACACATTTTGCGCAGTGATGCGCTTGGTGCTGCGATGGCAGCAGTTGAATTACCTTCTGAAGATTCATATGAGACACAGGTCAAACGCACTCGCAACACTGAGGGTGCACGGCGTCACGCACTGGAAGACTATGAGAGGAATCTCAAGATAGTGCAAGCGCTGGAGGGCAAGCTAGAAATCACGGAGCGGTGGGTTCCCAGAGATGTAGAGTGGCAGAACGCAGGGAGGCTAGTGGCTAACAGGAAGTACCAACGGGCACTAGACCGTCTTGAGGGTCTCATCGTCGCTCGGATATTCGAACTGTCGAAAATGAACAGAGCAGGGACAGGTAAGTCTCTATACTATACATGGAGTTGCGACTACTGATTGTATTCAGGCTATAAACTACGCAAACACATCGCCAAGGCATTACAGGCTCACTCCGTTGCTATCAGGTCAGCCCTCAACACGTACAACACTATTGCTAGGACACTGTCCCCTCCCCGCTTAACACTGAAATGGGAAGAAGTTGTCGACTACGCCTTTCTTGCCAACTTCGACCTCCTTCGCGACACGCGTGTAGACATCTCCGAGCGCCCTTGGTCATCTCCTGCCGCTCGTAGCGCAATGGATCTCCACTTCAAAATATGTCGGGCGCGTGAGGAGATTGAACGCCTCAATATTGAGGTCCAACGCCTGGTGACCTATATACGCGATGAAGAGAAGTATCTACGGGAATGTGAGGACCAGTTGAAGGATACCAACCCAGCCCTCGCACATCAAATCGCTATTCACCGAAACACTCGAGGACGCTTCAAGTCACGACATCTCAACCGGCTTCACGACATATCGAAGCTTCCGGGATTCAGTGGGACACTAGCTCCTGGTATAAGCGCTTATACATGTCCTGGGGAGAGCGCGAGCATACCTAATGCACAGATTCCTGCTCGCATGCTTGTTGAACCCTCGCCTGTTGATCACGCTGCATCTGCCTTAGACCTAGATACCCAGGATGATCTGGATGATGAGGAGGAGGAGGAGGAGGAGGAGGTAGTAGAGCAGGCTGTTGAAAGATTATAGATAAGTGATAACTTTGATTCGGACAACAACAAACAACACTCGCTTACATAATACGCTATGCGCTCATTAGAAGTTTTATATTACTTAGCACCTCAGTCTTCGACTATTGAGACTGAGGTATGATATTATTTATTTAGACTCTTTACTACGATACTGACTACTACTCTAGTACTTACTACTTTCGTTTATAGGTCAGCTAGTAGTCTCCCAGTCTTCGACTATTGAGACTGAGTACTTACTACTTTCGTTTATAGAATTCTTTCTGTCATTCTTTCGTCTGTCGCATCCTCGAACAAAAGGTTATGAGCCCTGGTGCTTAGAATCAATCCAGTACCACAAAGGAACATCAACCGAAACAAGAATTAAATGTCGAACACACCCTCAGTGTCTGCAGCCCAGTCAGGTGCAGCTGCTTCATCCTCGAACATCCCTTCCATATCATCCAGTTCTACATCTACAAGCAGAACTGCACAAGCCTCAAATCGTCTATATGATATTCCATCCCTCGAAAACGACGGTTCAAACTTCCAACTATGGAAGTACCGTGTCGAGTTAATCCTTGACCTTCGAGGACTATGGGGAATTGTTGAAGGAAGTGAAAAGATGCCAGATAGCACAACGCACCCTGTTCAACACCAGGAATGGTTAGCAAGGAACAAGGAAGCACGAGCTCAGATAGCTCTCACGCTGAAAGATGATCCCTTGAATGGGATACTCTATGTGCCAATAGCTAAAGATGCCTGGAAGAAGCTCTGTGAGCGATACGAGGGTAGAGGAAAGCAAACAATTGCTCAACTCATTGGCGAATTGTTTCGAAGTACCTTGACGGACGAATCTCCTATGGAAACGCAGCTAAACACCATGCGACAGAAGGCATTCATACTGTCCTCGCTTGGTCAGCCGCTCGACGATTCACTGGTCGCAGTTGCGATGGTGATATCCTTACCTTCATCCTATGCCACCCTTCGAACGATCCTAATGTCCAGTAGTGACAAACTCACCACCGAAACTGTTATAGCCCAAGTGCTGGTAGAGGAAAGGCAACGACAGGCTAGCAATAGCCAATCTGCGCTCGTTGCGAAGGGACCTGCGCAAAAGAATAAGCCTAAGCGCAAGGATAAGGACAAGAAGAAGTCAAAGGAAAAGTGCACATACTGCCACATTCCTGGACATGAGGAGAAGGACTGTCGAAAGAAGAAAGCTGCTGAAGACGCTGAAAAGAGTGGGAAGCAGGTGGACAAAGACAAAGGAAAAACGGACCTATCTGCAAAGGTCGCACGCATTTCGTCGGACCATGACACACCGCTCCAATTATTCATGGCACATGGGCACTCTACATCCGCATCCAAAGATGATTGGATAGTGGACTCTGGCGCATCTGCAAACATGACGTGTCAGCGGGAAATTTTCATCAAATATCGCACACTGAACCCACCCGGAAAAGTAATCATCGGAGATGGACGCTCGATAGATGCGATAGGTATCGGACGTGCTGAAATAAACGTCTATGTTGGTGAAAATGAGTACATCCACTCCATCCTGCAGGAAGTCTATCACATACCAGACCTGAATGCGAACCTTCTGTCAGTTCCGCGCCTCACGAAACAAGGTCTCGAAGTCACCTTTGATGGTTCCCAATGCAAGATCCTTGCAAAGGGAAAGACCGTCGCTCTCGCACATAAGCGAAACTCGCTATACGTCCTTCGAGTAAAGCCATGCGAGAAAGCACATGCATACATTCTGCAAGGACCATCAGCTCCACTCGATCCAGATGTCCCCATAACAGCTCTCACCTCGCGCATGCTCCATTCGAGTGCAACTCTGGACACATGGCATCGACGACTTGGGCACGTAAATTTCGACTCCATATCTAAGTTAATTTCGAAAGATATGGTCAATGGGATCAACATAAAGGGTTCAAGTACTCACAATAAGGCAGTGTGTCAGCCTTGCCTTGAAGGCAAGCAACACCGCAACCCAATCCCAACGAAATCAAATGTCGAAAGCCCAGGAGTCCTGTATCGCACATACTCTGATGTATGCGGACCCATGGAAACAGTGTCGCGCGCCGGCTTCCGATACTTCGTTACATTCATAGATGCCTATTCACACCATCTCGTGGTTAAACTTGTGAAGACCAAGGATGAAACATTCGCACTCACCAAAGGATACTTTGAACGTGCAGAGACCGAGACTGGAGAACGCCCCAACTATTTTCGTAGTGATGGTGGGGGGGAATATGGATCAAAACAATTTGTATCCTATCTCGAGTCAAAAGGCATCCATCACGAGAAAACAAACGCATACACACCACAAGAGAACGGTGTCGCAGAGCGGATGAATTGGACCTTAGTTGAAATGGCACGCAGCTTGCTACGAGACGCCGGACTGCCAAACACATATTGGGGAGATGCGATCCTATATTCGGCGCACATATTGAACCGGGTTCCAACTCGTGCGATAGATGGAGACATTACACCACATGAAGCGTTCACTGGGAACAAACCATCAGTATCCCATCTCCGGGTATTTGGGTGCAAAGCCCATGTACACATACCTGATGAAAAACGCCAGAAGCTCGGTGTGAAATCGCTCGAATGCGTCAACCTTGGGTATGCCGAACATCGAAAGGCCTATGTATGCCTGCATCGTCCAACCGGTCGCATCCTCGAGTCGCGAGACGTCGTCTTCGATGAAGGAGATCCGCAAGGGCCTAGTCGTGTCAAGATAGACACATTTCTCCCAGAGAAACAGGTCACTGCTGCAAAGCACAACACAGACGACCTGCAAGGCCTGGAAGCTCCTCATAAGTCAACAATTATAGAAGAATTATCAGACGATGACGCACCGGAAGTGGGAAATCCAGCTACCGAATCTCCCCACGAGGATGATGATGTCGATGGACAACCAGCTCCTCTAAGCATGGTCAAGTTCGAGCCTGAAGACCAGAACAAGGAAATGTCAGCACCGAACAACACGCGTGCGTTGGAGACACACCGTGTTCAACCACTAACCCCTTCAGCCACTCGACAAATAGCACCTCCTGCTCCATATCCTCGCCCAGCTCCTCCACCTGAAGTAAGGCGCAGCTCGCGAGCGCGACGCGCACCTATGCGAGACGATGATCCTCGCTACTTCATAAACGCCTATGAGAAGTCAACACTTCAAAGAGAGGAACCGGTTATACAAGACATACCTGAGGCAGTGGGCGCGATTGAGGCTGCGGAGACACATGGGGAGGCTTACAAGGCTACAGTAGCTTGTAATGGTGAGCCTGGGACGTTCCATGAAGCAATGAATCGTCCAGACGCAGATCTATGGTACACGGCAATGACTGAAGAATTGAAGATCTTCGAGAAGATTGGCCTATACGAGGAAGTCAAACGCCCTCGTGACCGCAAGGTTGTAGACTCGAAATGGGTCTATAAAATTAAGCGCGGCCCGCATGGCGAAATTGAACGCTATAAGGCCAGACTCGTCGCGAAAGGTTTCACGCAGGTCCAAGGGATCGACTACACAGACACCTTTGCCCCCGTCACGAAGTTCTCGACGATTCGAGTCCTTCTTGCCCTTGCAGCCAAGTACGATCTAGATATACATCAGATGGACGTCAAGTCAGCTTTTCTAAACGGTGAATTGGATGAGGAAATTTACCTGCAGCTCCCTCCTGGCTTTCGTGACTCGTCGAATCAAGTTTGGAAGCTCAAACGTGCTCTATACGGTCTTAAGCAGGCACACAAAGCATGGTACAAAAGACTACGTACCGTCTTCGAGTCTCTCGGCTTCACACGCAGCAATGCAGACCATTCTGTCTTCTACAAGGTCGAGAACGGCACAATCATTATAGTCGCCGTCTATGTTGACGACAAAATGATACTGTCAAAAGATAAGAAGATGATAGATGAGCTGAAGAAACGGTTAGCAGCAGAGTACGAGCTTACCGATTTGGGAGAAGCGCGCTGGATTTTGGGAATGGAAATCATTCGCGACCGCGATAAACGCACGATCAAGCTGTCACAAAGCCGCTACATCGAATCGATACTCGAGCGTTTCGATATGGGATCCAGTCGTCCTGTGAATACGCCAATGGACCCTAATACCAAGCTCATCAAAGTGAATGAAGCCGAAGTCGATGTGAAGACTTACCAAAGTGCCCTAGGTGCACTGATGTATGCGATGCTTGCGACGCGTCCGGACATCGCGTTCGCAGTAGGTGCTCTGAGCAGATTTGCAGCTACCCCCGGACAAGTGCACTGGACCGCTCTAAAGCGTGTCTATCGGTATCTACGTGGGACCGTCAATAAATGTTTGACATATCAAGGGAAGTCAGAAACGGACTTACATGCGTTCGTCGACGCAGACTGGGCCTCAGATGTCAATGACCGGCATTCGATAACCGGATATATATTTTCAATATCTGGAGGAGCAGTTAGTTGGAGTTCGAAGAAGCAAAGTTCAGTCGCACTTTCCAGTACCGAAGCAGAATATATGGCCGCCGCCGCTGCTACGAAGGAGGCCGTTTGGTTGAGGACCCTACTCAGAGAACTAAACTCCTCAGAAACTCCCCCAATAACTCTCCAAATCGACAATCAATCTGCAATTCTGTTAGCCGAAAATGCCATGTTTCACGAACGTACCAAACATATCGCGATCCGGTATCACTTTATCCGAGAAAAGTTGGAGGAAGGAGAGATATGCGTTGAGTATGTTCCCACGAACGAACAGATTGCCGACGTTTTGACGAAGGCACTTGCGCGCGAGAAGCATGGACGATTCATCGAAGGAATGGGAGTGTTGAACGGCGAGAGTTTGATTCGTTGAGTGGGCGTGTTGAAAGATTATAGATAAGTGATAACTTTGATTCGGACAACAACAAACAACACTCGCTTACATAATACGCTATGCGCTCATTAGAAGTTTTATATTACTTAGCACCTCAGTCTTCGACTATTGAGACTGAGGTATGATATTATTTATTTAGACTCTTTACTACGATACTG